AAACTCTGTGTGTTATGCGCTGACTATATCAGCAAGTTGAAGATATTCGCCGAACTGATTGTGGTAAGTTTTAGCTTTGTACCGAAGCCTTTGGCACTATCGATGGATAAGAACACTTTGCCCGTGATTTCCAAGGTTGCGTCCGGATCTAACCCAGCCGCTCCGTCTGCCTCCTAAACCTCCTCATCACTACCTCCTTCGATATCCTCGTCATCGGTTATATCGAAAGCACTTAATTGACCCTCACTATACTTGTCCACTAAGTTGAGGGACAGAACAAGCGCTGGTACCATTGGTCCAGCCATATTAACTAACTACACACACTGAAATAAAGTGTGTGAACGTGTATATATACATATTATTGCTATTATCACTATATACACACGTTCATATATAAATATACGCGAGTGTATTTGTGTATGTAATTCTCTATGAAATGAACAATGAAAATATACTATACCAGTCGGTACCATAACAATGTAAATTTTTGATGATGTCAGAACGAATCTAGGATTTGACCATTCAGTAACAAGCTTGAATGCACACCTAATAATAGACATCCACTTGAAATTAAACTTTGTGACAGTTAGTTTTAGTATGGGCCACTGTATGATAAGCCTGGTGTATCCTGGCATATTCAAGATATCGAAGATATCGAAATTGTGTACTCGTCTGTAGACTGCGGGACAGTGAAAAGGGTGAGGATGAGCTGTATTTCAGAATACAGTTCATTCATTGGCCAACCGTTTTCGGCTTTTTATACTCCGCCACGATTTGTTTCGTTTGTGATCTTTCATCAGTCTTCAATCATATTTACAAGTATCTCTCTCTCGAGTGCCAGTGGACGGTGGCTTTATGTATTTACATATAGTGCAATAAGAAGCTAAATAGCACATACACCTTATACAGTCCATATATCATACTGGCAGTCATGTACACGGCAGGCGACGCGGTAGAGAAGGCTCACGACGACGGTATTTGGAGTGTCTCATGGAGCGGAGGTCGAGCTAATCGGATCGTTACGGGTGGCATTGATCAGTTTGTGCGAGTCTGGAATGGTGTGTAGATTTATATCGATTTTAGGTGATGCCGATTTGTTTGTTATTCTGCGAAATATTTTACTAGGATGATGATTTTCCATGTTGTACTGGGAAACGACCTGTGGGGTTATATTCTGCGAAGTGGTGGCTTAAGATATTGGCGATGAAGGTTATTCTGGTCAGTGAAGGTTATTGACATTTAAAATTTCTGTTTAAGAAATGGTGGTTCACGACCGCTGGGGATTACCGAAGATTTGTAGGTCATTTTGTGAGAGTGCTGGGATTGGGTAGATTGAAGAATGCATTGTTTGAGAAGCTTTGATGTGCATTATAAGTTGCGACTATACCAAGTTATAATCTCGAAATCCGAAAGTCGATCAGGTCTGATACTCATGTTCAGCGAAGTATATCACATGTTAGTCAGTGAGTATGTACGACATAATGCTTGTAAAGTAAATTTGGTTTGGTGTACGGTTCAAGCTAAATGTTACACCTGTGATTTATGGAGGCATCGGTATACTATACAGCTCAGTTATTTTCACTTGGAGTCGATAGAGTATGTTTTTTTTAAAGTTTCAGGTGTGCTGTTTAAAAAGTACGTGAACGAGGGTTTCATCTGTGCAGTTAAAAAGATTAGACGTTTAAAACATGTTTGTTACAGAGATATATCCTTGTATTCTTGAGTACGATGGAGAATGTGTACTCTGATCACGGCGGACCAGGATGAGCCAGAGAGTTACAGCTTCTGGCATACAATATCTTGAGCTTGCTACCATTCACTATTTGATACACTCTGTTGTTCCCAATGAGACCAGGTGATACGTTGGAGCGTGTACTGGAGATAGAAGGTCATGAACTAGGCATCAACTGGTGAGTTCTATGTTTATCAACAGGCTGGTATCGATAGCATGTGCTTTCAGTTGTCAACTGTCGTATTTCTATACGATGCTTCCCGGCTCTGAATTCCTTGCTATCTTAACAAGAGCATATGCTTCGGGCTACTGTTTATAGGTCCAGATACCTTCGTGAGAGTGTCTGTTTATGCCGAGAGAGTGGTATATGTACGTACATATGAATTCTGCGTATATGCTCAGGGATCATTTGGCATGACACATGCCATTTAGTTTGATACAGATCTTTCTATACGCAGGGTTGCATAGCAGACAACTCGTATAATTGGTAGAGCTCCCGCACCATCTGTCGAGGAGTATTTAAAAGCATCTAAATGACTTAGGACTTAAACACAATCACATGGTATATGTGCGTGTATCCTTATGCATATATGAATGCGTGGGTATTTTCGCTATGATGCGTATACATTTAAGTCTCACACACATGTCTGATATTGTGTGCCATTAGTCTAAGTTTCGTTTACCGTTCCAGTCTCACTTCCCGTGACCTATTACTATTTACGCCATTCACAGCGTATCTGTTAACGAGGACGCGACTGTGGCCGTCTCCACATCGCTTGACAGCACAGTCAATGTGTGGAATCTCGAGAGTGGCGTTCTCCTGCGATCCATCAAGTGCGGGCCTGAGCATCGAGCATGGTGTGTCTATGGTACCAGCAAGACTAACATACGCGCGTATACGTCTTTGTGCATGTGAGTGTATGCGGAATCGTGTACGTTCTTCTAGCGGCACCCTGTGTCTGCCTCACATTGTGGTTGAATGACCTGGGTGTCCACGTGGGTATCTCTTGGCAGTACTCACAGTACTTGGTAGTGTACCAGGATTAGCTCGTCCACTATGCAAGCGCGCTGTGCCAGGCCATTTCGATGCATGGTTACATCGACATGTCGTGGGTATGCGTTGTTTATGCATTGTTTATATGTTACGGGTGAGCCCATGGGTGAGGTATAGTCCCGACTTAGGAGCGTGAAGCTAATTCTGAGTGCCCTTGTTAGCGTGATAGTAGCCGAGGAGTCGCTGTGCACACCGTGTTCAATCATCGTAAAGATTGGGGTTGTCTGTACATGCATATGGATTTTAAATCCTTACAGCATGCAGTGCAATAAAGGATGCGTGTACCTAGGCATCTGTACATATATACATAACCGCATGGCACGGTGTAGTGTGTTACTTTTGCAGCGTTGCTTGCTGCCAATGGGCTCCAATGATCGCCAACTACGCTTTCCTTCTAAGTCTCAAACGTTGTAAACGTTGTCGACGAGATCACACAGTCCAGTCTATCTGTTGTCAACCGCCGAATAAAATCTATGGAACAGAGTCATGTGCATGCATTGCTCGTCCTGTCATCTACCGACGCCCAGATGCTTCCACACCCACATATGTACATAGATAGCTCTCCCTGACCGACCAATGAGACGTATAGTGCCATAACGAACACGCTCAGTTCATGCTGACCTCGCCTCGCGGACTCAAGGTCTGATATCTTACGTGTGCAGTAGTGTGATCATACACTACGGGTGACTGTGTTTCCCATGTGTGTATAGATAATACTGTCCTGGTTACACTGGCAGTCAGTTACACGTCCTCTATAGGCACAGGAGCATCACCCGGAAGATACCGCGTGTACTCACACTTGCTTCTTGTACACGACGCAGGTCCGCTGCAATATGTCCCAAACCAACCGACGGAATTAACACAGTGGCCGTCAGTACACACTCGGGGGCCGTGCTGTTCTATAATATCGACACTGGCGAACGCGTATGTGAGGGTGCAATGCGTAGACACAGTCTCCTCTATGTATTGTAAACGCATATGTAGCAGCGTTGTCCGTTAAGGATGTTCTGTACCCCATACGTGTGCACTGTATCTTCTGAGGGTTTAGGGGTTTTATAGGAGAGTCTAACCATACAACAGTGAACTAGGAGGTGATGTGGTTGTCACACGGGTGGGGTCATTCCAGGGCTGCGCTGGTGGGCGCAAACCCAGTTCAATCGCATGCCACATGTATGGTTGTTGGTTTTCACTCTGGAAGCAGAAACACACACCTTCCCACTAGGCTACTGCCAGGCCACTAGCGTATTGCGTCTGCCGTATAGCAAGCGCGTTGATTGCTAAACAACCAGTGTGTTGGAGTTTGTGATCGCAGAGTTTAGCTATAAGGGCTACGGCTTGTACATTCTGATGATTTAGGCTTGAGTGAGGGCGTGAGTGTCACTCACCGACATGAGATGTAGATATATATGGTTACACATCTACACAGCATCGTATGTATACACATACACATGGATTGATGGGGAGAATATATATATTAAGGACCATTTTCATCGCATCAGGTGTCTGAGCTGACCACCAGGGGCAAGTTCAACCAGTCAATTGCGTTCAGTCCCAACGCAAAGTACTTTGCCGCAGGAGCTATAGATGGCACACTCCACATTTTCAGTCTGGGGGAAGATAAAAAGGTACGTATCTATTAACGTGCATCTACGCATATGCGTTTTATGTTTGACTAGACATACGCATATTTGTATTCTGCACCAAACGGTGCATATACACGCCTGTGTATGATTTCACCCGCATGCCTAGAGCAGGCACACGCTAAAGTTATTGTTTAAAAGGGTGTGTCATTATGGCCGATTACACCTTTCAAGGTGCAAATAGGTATTATGTGCTCATGTGTCGTATGAAGGATCGGAGTTTGTACTCGTACGCGCAGAGATCAAACACAGTCAACGGCTATGTAAATACAGTCAATGGCTATGTAAACGCAGTCAACGGCCAAGTAAATACAGTCAACGGCTAAGTAAATACAGTCAATGGCTAAGTAAATACAGTCAACGGCTAAGTAAATACAGTCAACGGCTAAGTAAATACAGTCAATGGCTATGTAAATACAGTCAATGGCTAAGTAAATACAGTCAACGGCTAAGTATATACAGTCAACGGCTAAGTAAATACAGTCAACGGCTAAGTAAATACATTCAACGGCTAAGTAAATACATTCAACGGCTAAGTAAATACAGTCAACGGCTAAGTAAATACAGTCAATGGCTATGTAAATACAGTCAACGGCTAAGTAAATAAGGTCAACGGCGATGTAAATACAGTCAACGGCTAAGTAAATACAGTCAATGGCTATGTAAATACAGTCAATGGCCAAGTAATTACAGTCAACTGCTAAGTAAATACAGTCAATGGCTAAGTAAATACAGTCAATGGCTAAGTAACCGCGCACCAGAGTGGTATCCGTAGTATAGCACCAGGCACACGATCACATCACGATTCCTCTGGCACACACAAGACACAGTGGTATGGTCTACAGCCCAACTGACGTGCAATGCGATGCTTCCCCATCCCCATCAACAGACATATAGTATCCTGCACAAGATAGAGGCTCATGCAATGCCCGTCAGAGGCCTGGAATTCTCTCCCGACTCGGAATTGATACTGACCGGGAGTGATGATTCTATCATGAATATGTACGACGTTGCCCAAGGTATGTGTCTGGTGAGTGTCCAGAGGTACTTCGGTCAACTCACTCAACTTGTACTGACACGTCTTAGGTACCTGCGCCCAGGCTGTCAACACACTCAACTTGTCGTTTGCAACTCTCATATGTTAATGACCGTTTTGTTTGGATTTATGTATGATGCTGAACGGTTTGTTTCTTATGTGATGTAGATACATTTATATTCAGAATGAACGCGAACCACTAGTATGGATAGCGGCCCATTCAGTTTCCTGGTGCACCAAATAACCCAATCGAATTCTACGGACCCGTCAAGTGAACGTGAAACGTATTGTTTGGGCAGTAATACACTATACAAAGCAGTACGCACGCGTGTTTATTTCTATTTGCCTACTGTGTATATGAGTATAGACCATTCGGACCATACACTGCAAGCCAAAAAGGCGCCCGTGTACTAGGTACATGACGCTTGGTTCTTGCTAAATCGTCGTGGCGCAATTTCTTACTAAGTGGATAATACACATTCTAATCCGTACGGGTCTGTATGTACATGCCTGATGCCTATATCACCCACAGTCCATGGCACCCGAACCCAACCACAGCGCACTGCCAAGACCCTAACAACACTCTGTACCACCAGCATCACCTATTCACCAAATCTACCTACCACTTGCGTCACAGGTAATATGATTCAGAGCTTCTCGGGTCACCTGTCCTGGGTGACGAGTTTGGCGTTCAATCCGAAGAACTCGCAATTTGCTTCGGGGTATGTGTGTGTATGTATGTATGTATGTATGTATGTATGTATGAGTGTATGTATGTATGTATGTATGTATGTATGTATGTGTGTATGTATGTATGTATGTATATATATATATATATATATATATATATATATATATATATATATATATATATATATATATGTGTGTGTGCGGTGGGTGTGTCTCACTGTGTGCGGTGGGTGCTCTTGTGATGTTTATCTGCTCTGGCCCATCACTGTGAGTCGGTGGGTGTTCCAGTGACATCTCCCCCGCACTGTCTGGGCTGGGTTCTGTTTTCACACATAATCTACGTGTTTGAATATCGGAAACGTTTGTATGTATGTTTATGACTAACGTTTATCTGCTAGTCGTGTATAGGCGTGTTGGTCTCGCGGCTACACGTTTTTGCTATAGAATACACTTTCGTCAATCATCTGTGAAGAATTGCTTCGCCGACCTATGTCTTGCTGGCCTAGTCTCTATACATTCGTCCATGGATCCGATGGTTCTTCTCACACTCCTGGAGACTCGAGTGATGTGTGTATGATATGTTGACACAGTCCCCAAGGCCCTGGTGTCCGTCTGTACTGAGGTCAGCATATGCTCTTGACCACACCGATAAGTTTTCCAGTCTCATCTCTACCACTTCTCACCAGTGGACACGGATATCGCTATTACAGGGTGATTGAACAATGGGAATCTACCTTCGCTTTCTCATGTGGTATCTTCTATGTTCAGACCTGCTACTTTGGGAATGGTGGTATACGGGACAGGCACACCCACACCCACACCCACTTACACGGCTGTACCAACATATTGCAATGGCTACTATCAGTCTTTTGACTGACTACTGTTAGCGCCCACAACCTCCAGCTCCATCCGGACACCTTGTTTCATGTTTCGCTATGCCACGATGGGTCACGAAACCGTTGTGGAGTATCGTTGTACACCATAGAGTTCAGACTGAGTAGAGCGGTGGTTGTAGCGCACCCAGCCACTGTTTAGAGTACAGGCTGTTGCTTTCGCACATACTACCAACTGTTAAAAGACGTGTTTCTTTTCATGTGCGTATGCGGTGCAGGTCGAGTGATAAGAAGGTCAAAGTATGGGATCACAAGACTAAAGAGTGCGTGCACACGTTCGAGAGTCACACCGATCAGGTAGTCAATCGTACACGCGTGTGTGTTTGAGAGTGCGTGTGCGAGTGCTTTAGTTTCATCTGTACATTAGAATCGCATTTATTATATACAAATCTCTAGTAGGATATATGAATATTGTCGTAGATATCTAGGTATACTAATTCCTAGTTGTATATATATATAGACACAATAAAACCTAATTGTATGTTATAGGACACGACAGTATCTAATTGTATATATATCGACACTTTAGTAGCTAATTGTATACGTAAATATTGACATAAACCTCTGGACACAATAACACCTATAAATATATAAATATATAAACAATAATACCTATTTTAATATAAATAGACACAATTATATCTATTTGTATATATAATTGTATATATATATAAACACAATATTGCATATTTGTTTAGATATATAGACACAGTAATACCTATTTGTATTGATATATATAAATATATATATATATATATATATATACATATTTATATATATATACAATAAAATCTATTTGTAAATATATAGACTCAATATCACCTGATTGCATACATATATATAAACAAGATAATACCTAATGCATATATAAATGTTCACATTAATTTCTAGAACAATAGTACCTCATTGTATATAAAAACACTGACATGGAACTTCAGAAACAATAATGCCTCATTGTATTCATAAAGACACAATGATACCTGTTTGTATACGTATACATTGACATCATTCTCTAGACACAATAATACTTGGTTGTATAAATAAAAAAATGACATGAATCTCAAGAGACACACTAAAGCCTATTTGTATGTATATATATTGGGATAAATCTCTCTAGACACAATTATACCTAATTGTGAATATAAATAAATAACTAGGGCACAACAATACCTAGTTGTATATACCAATATATGTCATAAATATGACAAAATACGTCCTAATTGTATATATAGTTATTGGTACATACATGTATTTCAGTGTGCGTGCACGGGTGTGTATCTGCGTCCATGTCGTATGCGTCGTATGTGTGTGTATATATGTCTGCTGCTCCATTGCTTTCAGTTGGGCAAACGTATTCCTTTTGCTAGTGTCTACATGCATTTGTGCGAACACGAGCTGGCCTCAGCTGAATAGTACGTCGACTTGACACGTTTTATGAAAGTTATCAATGTTTCGCTGCGCTGACATGGGTTTCAAGGTTTAGGGTTTAGGGTTTCGGGTTTTAGGCTGACACGGATAGCCATGTACATGGAAATGCACGGGAAGGCTCTCACACATAGTCTGCTTGCCATTAGCAACTGCAGACGTTCGCCTGTTCACGCCACCACATGTGCACTGCCGACAGTACAATCGCATGGGACATGTTTGCACGGTTGTGGATGGAAGATACAGTGTATATAAGACCCATCAACTCACCTTCACATCGTCCTACCATCTAACGCCGCTCTTATCTGCCTATGCTATCTATGTTACACTCTAGAAGAGTACGCCCCTGCTACCTACTATGTACTTTCTACCATCTAACATCACTCTTTTCTGCCTATACTATCTATGCTACACTCTAGAAGAGTACGCCCCTGCTATCTACTATGAACTCTACTCGTCTACCATCTAACATCACTCTTACCTGCCAATACTATCCATGTTACACTCTTTACCACTCAAACAAGTCATAAGCACGCCCCTGCCATCTACTATGTACTCTACTCGAATTCGAAGGGGTTCGCACACATTCGTATCTGATCTGCCGCTTCTTTTCGAATATTTTCTTTGAAAGCGCACGTCATTCTTCATAGCACGCGTCACATGCTCGTACGTCATTCTTCAAAAGCACACGTCACATGCTCGTACGTCATTCTTCAAAAGCACACGTCACATGCTCGTACGTATTTCTTCAATAGCACACGTTATATGCTCGTGCGTCATTCATCAAAAGCACACGTCGTATGCTCGTACGAGTCTTTCACCTGCATCCTCACTCGCCGGTAGAGCCCCTTCTCACACATCACACCAAACGCTTGCTACATATGGGGGGTTTTGTTTTTTGGGTTTTTCTCTTGGTCGCAGGTTTGGGGATTGGCCTTTAATGAAGCTGGAGATCGGTTGGTGTCTGTGGGCGATGATGGGAAGATTCAGATATACAAACTATCTTAATAATTAAAAAGAGCCTGTTTCAAAGCAATAGATGCATGTTGGGAAGATTCAGATATACAAACTATTATAATAATCAAAACAGAGTCTAAGATTCAGATATACAAACTATCATAATAATCAAAACAGAGTCTGTTTCAAAGCAAAAGATGCCTGTTGACCATCGGTCCTTTTCCAATGCCGCTGGCTTATGGGTTCTATTGCATTGGCTCTGAACACGGCTGGGCTGGTTTCCTCGTCACGAGTGATTCCGATGACGGCGTCTGTTAGATGTGTGACTGTGCTACGTACGTAACAGGACAGCTGAGCTCGATTGGTGTTCAGTAGCTATGTATGTATTGCAAGTAGGTAGTAGGACAGGTGAGCTCGATTTTTGTTCGGTAGCTACGTATGTATTGCAAGTAAGTAGTAGGAAAGCTGAGCTCGATTGGTGTTCGGTAGCTATGTATGTATTGCAAGTAAGTAGTAGGACAGGTGAGCTCGATTGGTGTTCGGTAGCTATGTATGGTATGTATTGCAAGTAAGTAGTAAGAAAGCTGAGCTCGATTGGTGTTCGGTAGCTATGTATGTATTGCAAGTAAGTAATAGGACAGCTGAGCTCGATTGGTGTTCTGTAGCTAAGGATGTATTGCAAGTAAGTAGTAGGACAGCTGAGCTCGATTGGTGTTCGGTAGCTATGGATGTATTGCAACTAGTACACTTTCATTCTGCTTTTGTGAATTCCCATTTTAAATACGTACCTAAGTACACTTTCATTCTGCCTTTCTGAATTCCCATTTTAAATACGTCTCTAAGTACACTTTCATTCTGCCTTTGTGAATGTAACGCATTCTCGTTGGATTGTAGAAGCCGTATGAGTACCTTCGGTGTATACATGCGCATGGATCCAACACACAGATATTCTATGCCGATTCAAGAGTACTTGGTCTTGTGTTTGGATGCGCTAGAGGTCTGTGACATATGTGTTATAACGATATCATGCGGATCCTCCGCGGGTGAGCCATAGGGTTTAGGGTTTATACCGGTCAATTAATAGTTACACAAAGCTACACAGTCACACGCATACCACGTCTAAGACGAAATTCGAGTATTCGCCATAGCGTGGAGTGAGTGTGTATGTATTCCACTTTGGCACAAAGGAGTGTTTGCGCTAACAAACAAACCTCCAAAACTTGCAATATTGGTTCCTTCATCTTATGAGTTGTTTTTGTTTATTAAAGTCATTCCTAAGATCTGTATTTGCGTTAAACCGAGAGGTTCACGCGCCTGTACGCGGCAGTGCCACTCACTGAGTGTGTACTGTGGTGGCAGAGCCAATTCCGAATCCCTTAGGCCCGAAATTCTGATAAAATCAGTATAGAGAATCACATGAGTATGTATATACGGATCAATAAATCAGGATAGGGAATCACATGAGTATGTATATACGGATCAATAAAGCAGGATAGAGAATCATATGAGTATGTATATACGGAATAATGAAAAGGATAGAGAATCCTATGAGTATGAATATACAGATTAATAAATCAGGATAGAGAATCACATGAGTATGCATATACGGAATATAAATAGGGTAGACAATCACATGAGTATGAGTATACGGATCAATAAATCAGGATAGAGAATCATATGAGTATGTATATACGGAATAATGAAAAGGATAGAGAATCCTATGAGTATGAATATACGGATTAATAAATCAGGATAGAGAATCACAGGAGTATGTATATACGGAATAATAAATAGGGTAGAAATTCACACGAGTATGAGTATAGGGATCAATAAATGAGGATAGAGAATCACATTAGTATGAGTATACGGAATAATAAATAGGGTAGACAATCACATGAGTATGAGTATACGGATCAATAAATGAGGATAGATAATCACATTAGTATGAGTATACGGATTAATAAATAGGATAGATAATCATATGAGCATGTTTATACGGATTAATAAATAGGATAGAGAATCATATGAGCATGTATATACGGATCAATAAATCAGGATAGAGAATCACATGAGTATGAGTATACGGATTAATAAATAGGATAGAGAATCATATGTGCATGTATATACAGATGTTGCCAGAAAGATAGTTGGTAGAAATTAATACACCCAAAGCCAAATGAAGCACGTCATTCGCTCGAGAAGAAGATGGAAGAAATGATAAACACTACATCATTCTCACTAACAAAAGCTAGAATTACAGCCATTAAACCTTGGTATCAATCCACATTAAACCCAAATAGAGTGCGCGAAAACACACCTTGCCGTAGCAACTGGTGCAGAAAATCTGTTGCAGCGGCCCAGAATGACAATCACGGAAGTTGAAGAGATAGAAAGTGAATATCTGTCAGTACATGTGATGTGACGACTTATACGCGATTAGCATGGCAACAGACTTGAGCTTAAGTTTGGTGCATACTGTGGGTTTACTTACCTCCGGTTTGTACTGAGCGCACCACGTGTGTCGCTATAAACAAACACGTGAGGGCTTTTGGATTCTGTAAGGACAAGATCACTCTATGAAATAAACATACGTGACTTAGACATACATATATGTGGATTGGCTTTACAAGGGCGCGATTAAGGTATGAGCAAGTATTACCATCAAATCCTAAAACCATCACCAGATCAAATCATAAAACCATCACAAGATCAAATCTTAAGACCATCACAAGATCAAATCCTAAAAC